GACCTGGCACCTGCTCACAGTGCCAAAACCACTGGTAAATGGTTTACTGACCATGGTATTACTGTGCTCAATTGGCCTGCCAACTCTCCTGACCTGAACCCCATAGAGAACCTGTGGGATATTGTGAAGAGAAAGTTGAGAGACGCAAGACCCAACACTCTGGATGAGCTTAAGGCCGCTATCGAAGCATCCTGGGCCTCCATAACACCTCAGCAGTGCCACAGGCTGATTGTCTCCATGCCACGCCGCATTGAAGCAGTCATTCATGCAAAAGGATTTCCGACCAAGTATTGAGTGCATAACTGAACATGATTATTTGAAGGTTGGCGTTTTTTGTATTAAAAACACTTGTCTTTCATTGGTGGGATGAAATATGCTAATTTTTTGGGACAGGCATTTTGTGTTTTCATGAGCTGTATGCCATAATCATCAGTATTAAATCAATTAAAGACCTGAAATATATCAGTTGGTGTGCAATGAATCTGAAATATATGAAAGTTTCATTTTTATCATTACATTATGGAAAATAATGACCTTTATCACAAAATGCTAATTTTTTGAGAAGGACCTGTATATTACTTAGTGAACGAATCCATTCCACTTGATTAATAGGAGAATATTCAACCAATAAAAGTCCACTCCAGGTTTTCCTGGTTGCCTACATCTCTCCAGCAGCCTGCAATGTTTCTCCTCTGTGTCTCCTGCTGCCTCGGCACAACGCTCACAGGTGGTGGAGGTGGAGATACCTCTGTGTTTATCGCTTGCCAGCTTAGCTAGCTTAGTGCAGGCAGTTATTGACCGGGGTGGCGGAGTTTGATCACAAACATATATACGGTTACTATATTATACTATGGTTAGGAGGATGTTTGAGAGAACTGGAGTGTTGTGTCTGTAGCATCTTAGCTAAGCAGTAACTGTCACGCTGTAAGACACAGCAAGTGTAAGACGCTATGCGTTAAGGTACATTAAAGTTGAAATGTCTTGCACCTTATTGTCCTCAAGCTTCCTGAGAAAAATCATTTAGATGAGACGTGTTGAACACAAGTAAAAAAGTCTAGTGGTGACGTGGCTCAATGAGGCTAGCCTGTACAAACCAGCCAGTCAAAGCAGATGGCTTCTTGTCCTGAGCCTGGTTCTGCTGGAGGTTTCTTCCTTTTAAAAGGGAGTTTTTCCTTTCCACTATTCCCATTGCGCTTGCTCAGGATGGGAAACTGCAACAAAGCCAAGATTCAACTTGTCTGCTGGCTTCCTTAGATAGAGAACTTGACTAATTTGCGTTTCTATGTATGTGAATGTTCTTATAAAGTGCCCTGAGACAACTTTATTGTGATTTGGCGCTATATAATCTCAATCTACCCAGTGGAGTTACCACCTGAGTTATGGCCAAACCCCACTGCAGCCTCTCCTCTAAAGGGTATAACAAACTAAGCCTAACACTTGAGTATTACCCAGAGTAATTTTAGGTTAGTTCAACTTCAGCCGGGGTTGGATCGTCGTCCACAGGGATACTCACATTAACGGTCGTTCACCTTCATTGTAGAATGGCTATTCTTTAGGGCTGCAACTAACGATTATTTCAATAATCGATTCATTGGCCGATTATTTTTTTGATTAATCAATGAATCAGCAAAAAAAACAACGTTTTAATTTCCACCCCTTTATTCCAAAATTGAACATTTGACTGGCATAGCAATTGGCACAAAAAACAGGTTGCTATTTGACTATTCTGTTAGTAAAATATTGAATAATAAAAAATAAAAGTTAGTCAAATAGCTTAAAAAATAAATGTACACAAAAATATATACAAATGTATGCTTTATACCTGCACAATATGTAGCTACTTTGTAAAATGTGTCCTTGAGGGAAGAGTGTAACCTGGATTAAAAGTGTGGATTATTGTAACATGGATTAAAAGTGTGGATCATTGTAGTGAAGCCTTCGTCTTCAACCATCGACAGAAGCCTCATGTCAGTGACGATCATTTAAGAATGCTTTCAGTGAAGACAGCTGCTGCTGTAGTGTCCATGATGTCCGTCCATCATAAAGGCTGTCATTGTTTGTTGTTGTTTTCTTGAATGAGAGCGTTTATACGTATTATAACATAATTTACAGCAACTCAATATATACCTTGTTTCACTTACAGTGTTAGGTTCAGGCAAAAGTAGCTAAAAGAGCAATTAAACGCACACACACACACACACACACACACACACACACACACACACACACAC